CCCCAATTCTATCCAAAGGAATACTGACAATGGATTGCTGTAGATGAGGAACAGCTGATCCTCCTGGAACAGGGACCTCTGGCTGACTAGATTTATCAGAAGGACAGATGGGGGCAATAGATGGGGGTCCTGACAACACAGTGGACATTGGCAGGGATGACAGAGTATGGAGGCTCTAGAGGGAGAAGAAGGCTGTTTATCTGACGAGTTTATATTCATACTCAGATGCCACGGAACTCAGAAAGTAAGTGACTGTGACCAGTAATAGTCATATATATAGAGATTAGAAATGCATGTGAAAACGTCTCAATGTCAGTTGCCTTAAAATGAATTTTTCTGTATGAAACTGTATTTTAACAACGAAGTGGAGATCTTTTCTAAACATTAAAACCTCATTTAATTTTATGTCTTGTAGAGTTTATAATCAGTAAAAGATTGTACAAGCGTAATAATTCCTCTGTAAACCTAAAAATGTACAGCCAATTTTGAAAGAGATGTACCCTAGCTCAGAAAAATGTTATTGAATAGGTTAATGCTGTTGTAATGAAATCTTCTTCTAATTAAAAAAACATTAGCAGATAAAGTTAACTAACTGCTACTGAGACTAAATATATGATTTCAATACCTGAATTTATCTTTATGATAAATAGAGGTTTATGATTGGAAAAACCTACTCTTTACCATCTTTATCCCTGATGGTTATTTCAATTTTCAGGAACTCAGACAAAAAGAACATCTACATTCTTTTCAGTAATAACACATCCCCTATGATGGAATGAGTTCTTTTCTCAAAAGAGCACTTGACTCTCTTATTAAATATTAAACTACAGATCTGTTGTTACTAGCCTTCAAATACTAACTCTCCTAGAAGTGTTCTCATATAATTAAAAAATCCAATAGTATATTTGCTGATGTTGAGGAGAACAAAATAGGCTTCAAAGTCACAGTGAACTTTTAGAGACTGATTCTTATCCAGGAAACAGAGACCAGAGAGATTAATGACTTATAGTTGGGCTTCGCAGGCAGTATTTCTTTCCACATAAGTAATGAGTACCCTTTGCATGGTTCTAGCTGATAAATTGTTTCCAATGTGTTGAACTGTGTGCTTTCCTTAATTAGTGACAGTAATATATATACATATATATCATATATATAAATAAATCATTATTAGAATTTATATTTTTTCTAGTTATCCTCTTCCTAATATTCCAAGTTTAAAAGCAGGAGATTACCTTCAGAAGGCGATGTTGTCAAGACGAGGGGAGTAGTCATGGGATCCCATGTAAACCCACAGTCACCTGAACATTTAGCTGGAATTCCATTGACATAGACTTCAACCTTCAAGTAAAGCGAGTAGAGTAGAGAGGTAAATAGGGGTAAAGTGGAAGTAGAACTCAGAAGAATATGGGTAGGACTTAAAATGAATTCAATTTTATTCATTTACAAAAATGTGTTTATTTTTTCTGCTTTGACATCTCATTCAATCATATATCCATTCAGCATTCCATTCATTTACTCATCCATCCATCTAACCATCCATCCATCCATCCATCCATCCATCCATCCATCCATGCATCCATCCAACCACTCATTCATTCATACAACAAGTGTGCCCACTAAGTTTCTGATATAGTTGTAAATGTTTGGAATATAAGAAATACATTAATGAAAACAGATGAAATCCTTGCTGTCATACAACTTGTAGTAAATGTGAAATGGAAAGATGCATATATTATACCAGGAGCTAAATATTCCTATGAAAAATAGAGGTTGCATTTAAGAAAGTCATCTATACGTCTTATCTCAATTTTCTCATCATTCAAGTGGTGATGTCAATGACAATCTCACAGAAATACCATAAGAAATAAACAAAATAACATATTTACTAATTCTGCCCGTGGTAGATTTTAAAAATTCATTATTATATCATTTGGAAGATGATTTTCCCCAAAGTAAGAATAATAATTAGTTGATCATCGTTAATACAAATATTCCCATAAAACTAGAGCAGCCAACGCTACTGTTTTACCAGGGCTTTGATGTACGAATACAAATTAGTTATGCATTTGAAATTATAAACATTATCAGAAAAGTTTGAAAACTACCTGTGGATGCTGATTTGGTGTACGGAGTAGGTCTCCAAGTAAGTGTTGTCTAAATAAGCCACCTTCCTTTATCTTTGTGACGGTCACACTAGCCTTTTCACCAATTATATTGGAATCATTAACCTATTTTTACACAAAATGGATTTATTAGAATATCAATGAGATATATAAGCACAGACATTTTTCTCTTTAAATTTAAGCATGTTTAAAAAAAAATAAAAGCCAATGCATGTTTAAAAATCAAGCTGGGATTAGTGGCACACGCCTTTAATCCCAGCACTCTGGAGGCAGAGACAGGTGGATCTCTGTGAGTTCGAGGCCAGCCTGGTCTCCACGGTGAATCCAGGACAGCTGGGGCTACAGGGAGACCCTGTCTCAAAGAGACAAAAAAACCACCATCAACAACAACAAAAACCAAGACAGTTTTAGTAACATTTGTTTGAAAAAAAATTATCAAGAATGACAATAATCTACATGAGGAAAAAGCTCATAAAACCATTGCATTACAATATATTGCATTAATCGAAGCATGAATTAAATAACCAAAATTAAATAACATTTATAATTAATAAGATAAATCAAAAAAACCAAATTCACTGAATTTAATTAGTTTAAAATATTATATGTTCTTTCTCAATATGGCCACTTTGATAAATTATTGTTAAATAGTTGAAAAGTTGAGTTATTCTTCGACCTAGTAGTCAATTTCTTTCTTTTAGCGTTTCTCACCGCTGACTATTCTGATTTCTCATCCTGGAATGGTATTTTCATTCCTTTTACAAAAGCAAAGCCAAATCATGTCCCTATGTATAATGTGGTCATTTCAAAAATCCTTCTACCACCCTCTGATATAAGTAGGAGTTTGTGAAGACTTGGGCACCTTCATGATGGAATGTGATGAGTTAACAAGAAAGAACCTCAATGATGAGTGAGCAGTGGGTACTGCTGGGCAAAAGGAGAAGAGAGCATATACCAGACACAAGCACATGCAGCGAGAAGAGGCTGGTCACTAGCACTGTCTCAATTACGGAATTTTGAAATTGTAGTTCCAGTCATGTGTTATGTAAGATAACCTCCATATCATTATGACTGTTAGTATTTTGTATTTTATGACTACAGATTGTTTTTTGTTTGTTTGCCCAACTGAAATGGTTCATGGTGGGGTTCTGTGCTTTCTCTGCATTACATCATGGCACCTTTCCAGGTGAACATATGTGGGTCTACCCATGGCTACATAGCACTCATGCAAGAATTAAGTCATTTAAATAATCATTCTCCTATTGATAAGATTTAGGTTTCTATGGGTTTGTGTGTGAAATAATGCTGCTGGTTCTATTTTCATACTTATACCATTGTACATTTGTATTATTATTCCACTAGAATGGAATTATATAAGAGATTGCTGAATCACAAGTAGCTATATTCAGATAATACCATATAATCCTAAAAATTGCACTCATTTACATTGTGCATGCACACACAGAGCTCAGAGTAGGATGCTAGGTAGCCTAATGTAACACTATTCCCAAGCCCATTGTTTTACTTCTAGCCTATTCATGTTCCCAGTTTCTTTCATACTACTCTCCTTCATACAACTGGAGATGACTCTTCTTCTACACTAACTTATCAATGTTAAGTAGATGATAGTTTTAGCTATGACTCGATCAAGTCATCCCTATGATAACAAAAGTGTTCACAGCCCCAGAATATACCTCTAGGGGTATATTCTGGTAGATAATAGAGCTGATTTATCTTGCCTCTTCTTTAAGATAAACCTGAATTTATTTCTGAGACTGACTCTGTCTGTATTCTTTCTATCCCAACACAGGTCTTCTAACACATACTCCTTGACTTTTTCCCTGTGGCTCAGGGAGTGAAGTGCCAACAGCTATTCTTCATGAACATGAACACTACCTGGTCATTCTAATATATGATAATTTTCTTCTGTTTAATTCATTTTTAATTACTCTACAATTTGCTTTCTAAAATACAACAGTCTCCAATTCATTTTAGAATAAGGAAGAGTGCAAATTAGCAAATACCACGTAGAAGGAAACAGAAGCCATACTAAAAGAAGGAACCTGTAGAAGACTCTGCTTTCCACATGGGTTTCTCCACTTGATGCTCCATGAGTATCCAGCACAGGTTCCCTCCCTGTTAACTGAGACTTGCCCTATTTCTTGCAGGCTTTGCAGGGAAAACTTCAAGTCTGAAGCCGACACAGCAGCAGGGATGCCTACATCACAGAGGAAACAAAAGTTCACACACCAAACTTCATCTTCTAGGTATTGTGATTGTGAAGGATCACTTGTCAACCACATAAGCACTCCACTGTAGTTAAAGAGCAGCCTGGACTTTATTTGTTCCAACATTATATACAGTAAAAAGAAACAAAAATTATATGAGTAATGTATCTCAAAATGTTGTCTTTCCTTAAGATTTTTATTTGAATGAATTTGTTTTATGGATAATCTATAAATCATTGTTGCAAATGAAACCTTTGAATTTTAAAACAGATATATTGGACTGAAGAGATGCCTCAGTGGTTAAAAGCAATGATTACTCTTGCAGAGGACCCAGGTTCATATCCCAGCACCCACATGGCAGCTAACAACCGTCTGTAACTCCAGTTCCAGAGGATCAGGGTACCTTCTTCTGACCTCTGCAGGTATTGCACAACATGGGTGCACCTACTTACATGCAGGCAATATACTTATACACATAAAATAAAAATAATAAATAAAATATTAAAAAAATAAAACAGGGATGTCAGGAAAAGCAGTGCGTAAAGCATGCAACTGCCATTTATTCTGTATCAAATGTTTTTTATCAATAATTATCAAATGTTTTTACAATAAATTATTTTACAGTACTGACATAAATTTAACTGTAAATTTTTTATAGAAATCCTGTAGAAAGAAATACACTAAAATATCTGATTGTCTAAATTAGCACTCAGTTTCCATCGATAAAGATTGTAACTCATAAATACAAATTAAAACTTTCCTACTGGTAGTAATAGTAATATTTCTTAGAATTTTATTATTTTTAGTTTATATGTATGAGTGTATCGCCTGCATGTATGTAAGAGCACCCATGTCGTACAGTGCCCACAGAAGCCAGAAGAAGGCATTGGATTCCCTGGAATTGGGGTTACAGAGAGTTGTTAGCCACTGTGTGGTGCTGGGACTCGAACCCGGGTCCTCTGCAAGAGCAGTCAGTGTGCTTAATCACTGAGCCATCTCTCCAGCCTTCAATAGCAATATTTTTTAAAGGCAAAATTAAACAAGTATTAAAAACTAGAACTATAGGCCAAGAAATAGCTGGGTGATGTGGTAAATCTACTTTTAGCTTTTCAAAAATTCTCAAGGACTCAGTCTCCTTCTACAGAGCTACTTGCTCAGCCATGTTCATTGTTGCTATCTTCATAATAGCTAAGAAATGGAAACAATCTAAATATCTTTCAGTTGATGAATGGAAAATAAATATGTGGTCATATACATAATGCAATTCCATTTAGCTGTAAAAAATGAAATCATGAAATTTACAGTAAATGAATGGAACTGGAAAATATTAGACTCAGTGAGATAATCCAGATTCAGAAATGCAAATACCACGTTCTTTCTTATTTGTGGATACTAGTTCCAAATCTTTAGATTTGAGCACATACTCTGAAGAAGCAACAGAAGTCGGGAAAGTAAAAAGGGACCATGGGGAGAGAGGGACAAAAGGAGCTCTAGAGAGGGGAATAATAGGACATGGGTGCTATGAAGGGAGAAAAGGAAAAACTGGGAGGGAAGGGGGTACTTTAGAGAAAGAAGAAGGAGGGCAATACAGAGGGAGAGAGAGGAAGGAGAGCTAAATAACACTATAGGAAAAGCTATAGGGAAACATGAATCTGTAACAGTCACTTTGACTAATGAAATAATGAAGGATTCATATTTAAGTCCACATACTTACAGTCACCTGTTTTATTTTTTTACTAAAGGGGCAAAGTATGCAGATTAGAGAAGAGACATCATTTTTAACTAATGGTGCTGGTCAGATGGGATAGATACATGCAGAGGAATAAAATTTAGATTCCCACCTCTCACCATGCACATATCTCAACTCCAAATGTTTCAAGAACAACATAAAACCTGATATCCTAAATCTGGTAATGGAGAAAGTAGGGACTATGCTGAGGCCCAGTAAAAGATTTTCTGAACAGGACAATAGTACAAGTATTAAGACCAGAAATTGACAAATGGAACCTCCTCAATCTATAAAGCTTTTTTACAGCAAAGGACACCATCGTTTGAGTGAAGAGACAACCTACAGAACTGAAAAAAATCCTTATCAACTATACACCTGGCACAGGAATAACATCTAGAATACACAAAGAGTTGAGAGAAATGCAAATAGCTAAGAAATACTTTTAATATTCAACATCTTTAGTCATCAGGGAAATGAAAATTAAAAATACTTTAAAAATTTTGTCTTACTCAGAATGGGTAAGATGTAAAAAACAAACAATGACAAACACTGGTGAAGATGTGGAGAAAGGGGAGCTTTTATTCACTGCTGAGGGTAGTGAAAACTGGTATGGCCACCATATAAATCAGTGTGAAGAGTCCTCAAAAAGCTAGAAATAGATTTACCACATGATCCAGCCAAAGCACTCTTGGGCACATACTCAAAGCACTATATCTTACTACAGAGATATTTGTTCATCTATGTTCATTGTTGCTTTATTCATAATAGCCATGAAATGGAAATAATCGATCATGGAGGTATGCTACATTCATACAATTAAATATTATTGGGTTGTTAAGAAAAACAAAATTATGAAATTTTCAGGTAAATTGATGGAACTGGAACCAATCATTCTGAGTAAGGTGATCCAGACTACCAGACTAAGAAAGACAGATGTCTCATGTTCTCTCTCATAAGTGGTTTCTAGTTTTGAATCTTTAGATACATGTGCTTCAATTGGAAAATCCACAGAGATCAGGAAGCTAGTAAGGGGCCATGGGAGTATATACATAAACACATATATATATATAATATAAAATGAGTTACCCTATAACAGGGGAACACAGCCTTAGCAGACACCACATGACAGCAAATAAAAAGTGCAAAGCCAGTATTGGACTTTCTCTTTTGAAGCTGCTGATCAGATAGTCCATAGTCCTTTAAACAATACTGGCCATTGTCCCTGCTCTTGGCTACACATCAGAACTTGATGATAAGATCCAGTTGCTAAAGATACTACATACAAGAGCTGTAGAATAAATAAGGAGAAATAAAGCTGGTTTTGACCTCAAAGCTTCATGTCTAGTGGCTAACTTTCATAGCCCTAGAAGTATCTATTATCTATGCATGCTATTGGGAGAGAAAGTTAATCATTATCTTTACCCAGCAGTGAACCCTGTGAGCCATATTAAGTATCAGCCTGGTCAGATATGCCCACTGGTGCAATAGTGGCATGAATCTTATGGTAGTAACCCATCACTGGTTGGATTTAAGGCTCAGAGCCCATACCTGACACTGTTATCAGAGCCAAGAACCTGGGGCTAGATAGGTCACAGGCCATAGTGGAGAACTTATTACTATTATCCTGCTAAATGGTCATAGTTTTAAATCAACTCACAGTAATTTACAACTCCCCAGAGATTTAATGCATCTCTCAACTATCACCAAATTGCCCCAGAGAACCTTCTTCTTGTAACAGATGGTCATGAACGGAGAGAACCACAACAGGTCAACATGCAAAAAACAAGAGACTTTGGAGTATTCTGCCCTAAAAGAGACACCTAGAAGCTGGGGAAATGGCCTAATCGTTAAGAGACACCTATATCACACACCCTCCTCCCAAGGCTCAGGTATCATTATGGAAGAGGATGGGGAAAGATTGTAAGAGTCAGAGGTGGTGTTTCCAGACACAACAGGGAAGTTGTACATATGCACCCCCAGCCCTTGTGACAGCACGCACAAGACCATCACAAATCCAGAGAGACAAACACTCAGAATGGATTAGAAAGGTGAACAGGAAGCCCAGCCCTAGCTGAGTAACTATTGGCAATTGGTAGTTGCTGGGAGAGTCACTTTTCTTTTAGGGTGTGATTCTGGGTAGGCTGATCAGGCTCCAAGGGATGGACAGATGCTCAAGAGTGTTTGGGGAACAGAAATTAGATTCTACAGGCCTTAAAATAATAGATATGAAGAAGTGAGACAAGTTAGGAAGGTAGGGGTAGAACTGAGGAGATGAAGGAGATAGTTAGATATGATTAAAATACAATGTATGAGGGGTTAGAGAGATATCGCTCTCTAGTGGTTAAGAGCACTGGCTAGTCTTCCAGAGGACCCGAGTTTAGTTCCCAGCACCCGCATGACAGCTAACAATCTTCTGTTACTCCAGTTCCAGGAGATACATTCTCTCTCTTTGGCCTCTTCCAGCATTATATACATGTGAACACACATAATAAAAAATATATTTTAAAAAGAACAAAAATAACTGTGTGCTAAACACTTATTCTTTACCCACAGACAAATGTAGCTTCTCATTAAAGAAGCTTCTTTTTGCAGCAGATGGAGGCTATTACAAAGATCCACAACAGGTCATAACACAGAGAATAAGTAACTGTGGGGTACAATTCAACCTCTACACCTTAGATTCAGAAAAAGTCATGGAAGAGGAGTTGAAAAGACTCTAAGACCCAGAGCAGCAGGACACAAGCTGTGAGTTAAGTGTCCCCTAGACATGACAGGGAAGTTGCACTCATGAAATCTCAACAATATATGGTTGTCTAAACAAGATCTAGATAATGACACTAGTGAATAGGGGAAATTTCACAAGGCCCCATGTCAAGATGAAGAGCTACAGGCAATGAATGGCAGGAGAGAGAGAGAGAGAGAGAGAGAGAGAGAGAGAAAAAAATCAATTTTCTCCAGGGAAAAGCTCCCAGATAGTGATCCAATCCCAAATGATCAGCCCTAAACACATGTACATCCAAGTAATACTAAGTGGACTCAATAGGCTGTGTGGTGTGTGGGTGTGTGTGTGTGTGTGTGTGTGTGTGTGTGTGTGTGTCTGGTGTCTGCATAACAGTTAAATAAGAAAGGTCCTGAGTTTGAGATGAAGTGGAGGGAGAAATGGATAAATGTGGCTATGGTTACCATGTTGGACAGCACAAATCTAGATGACTCAGTTAAAATTATACTTTATAATACTATTCCAATCCCACCTTTATATTACTTTAACATTATTATTTCTAGATACCATACTAATGAATTTTTCAAATATGTCTGTATTATATAAAGCTGCAAATTTCAAAAGTCAGAATGTCAACCACCTTCAGAAAAGTGTTATCCCAGCACTTCCCCTTCTAAAAAATGATGCCTATCCAGGTGTGGTGATGCATGCCTTTAATCTCAGCACTTAGGGGGCAGAGGCAGGCAGAGCTCTGTGAGTTCAAGGCCAGCCTGGACTACATAGCTAGTTCCAGGCCAGCTGAGGCTGTAGGGAGACCCTGTCTCCAAAAGACAAAAAAAAACAAAAAGAGTTCACTACATTTTTTTACGAACCTTTTGAATATTACTTTTAAATAAAAATAATCACTACTAATAACATGGGCTTTAGATAGGTCAGTTCTTTTTCAAACTAGTAAAAGAACAGTTTTGAAACAAAAATGTTATTATTGGCTCTTAACTGGCTATAATAGATACATATTGTTATTTATAGATTTATGTAGACATTTGAATGTAAAATAATACACAACAATTATCAAGTGCAATAATAGATAACATTTACTAGACATATGTACTCTGAAAAACTTTCATCCACCTTGATAATTCTGAACATTTCAAATATACCTTTGAGGATGTGTCCATAAGCTTGAAGGTCGAAGCTGCCACTTATAGGTGGAGAAGCTTCTTGAATTCTTTGAACACGAATCTTTGACTCTCCCGGCCAATTATTTCCTCTGTAAACAGACTCATTCTGTGTCTCATTTGCGATTATCTAATTTCCAAAATAAATATTGATGTAATGATTAAAGCTAAGAATGTCTAACACAATTTCCATTCCACCATGATAGGATCCTGCGACATAACATAAATGAGCCTCATGTATTCATGATTCTTAGGGATATTAAAGAGAGTCCCATAAATCAACATAGGCCATGCTACACAGCTGCAATAATGAGGCCAAAATCAACTCAGTCATCTGTGCAGCCATCAGCTGGAATCATAGGAATACCTCATTAATTCAGAGCATACCCTCCATCACACGAGGAACAAATATTTATCAAGCAGGCACTCTGTTCAAGGTACAAAATACATCACTGAGGGAGGAAAAGAAGGATGATTTAAAATAGTCTCTATAAAAACTAATTTTGGGGGGAATAACCGTTGGGACATAACCAACATTATAAGGATGTAAGTAATGTTATATGGTCAGTAGAGTGGCAATCCCAGCATCACTAAAAATTTCATATGATTGAATGTCAATCAACTGACAGAAGCAGTATTTGCTGTAGATATTCACAGATTGCAACTCTAATAAGTAATAATGATAGTCTCCCATTTCTAGTCCCTTGGAATTATCTGCTAATCTTGTAGAGCTGAAAAGCCATAGGAAATAAGTAACACAAGTGGTAGAATATATATGTGTGTGTACATATATAATGTACATATCATCTTTGTTCATAATAGCCACAGACTAGAAATAATGCAAAATTCCTTTAACAGAAAGGACAGACTGTAGTATGTCTGTACTATGATGTACAGAAACTCAAAAGAATGCACTATAGCTATGTGTAGCAATGAAAATATCTCAGAATCAGTAAAGAAAACTAGATTCAAATAATATGAACTCTTAAGAGCCCACTGGTATGAAGTTTAAAAACAAAAGACACCAATTACTGGTGATAGATGGCAAAATAGTGGCAGTATGGACCTGAGGAGTAAGGAGACTAGACAAGGAGACGCAAAGAGAGCTCCTAGGGACTAATGATTTTTTTTCTTGATCTAAAAATGATTACAGGACTGTATTTACTATCTAAAAATTTATTGAAGTTACCAAGTTTCAGAAAACAAGATGAACATACAAAGAATCATATTTTAAGTACAAAATTTGCTTTAAAGAATGAAATACAGAATGAAGGACATTTGAGGACACAAATCATACTCTATAAAGCCATACTATTTATTTATATATACATATATATATGTATATATAAGATAATTCATTAAATTAGGTTGAGAACACTGCGGGGAAGTGCGGAGAGGGGGAACGGATTTAATGCCATCAAACAATATTGTATGAAATCACAAAAATTCAATAAAAAATGTAAAAAAGAAGAAAATATGAAATAATGCTCTTATCGAGGGAAATTGGGTTAAGAGAAAACAGGGGGGGGGGTTGTATTTTTTCCAAGAATTTTAAGTCAAGTTACTTTACATTAAAATGTTTATATACATGTATAAAAATACCTCAATGAAACCTGTTATTAACTATAATTATTATATGATAATAAAACATTTTTTAAATGGTTAAAATATTTTAAAGAAAAAGAATAGATTCCCATGGATTCCTGTCATCATGATTTGGAAAGTAAAAAAATGCAAAATTTTCTAAAAAGTAAAACAATTATATATAAATACAAAATATGTTCTACAGGCTGGAAAGATGGCTCAGTAAGTAAGAGTGCTTGCTATGCAAGCATTAGGACCTGAGTTTAGGTCTCAACACCCACATAAAAAAGCTGGGCTTGTTGACAGGTGCCTATAACCCCAGTGTTATGGTGGGCAGAGACAGGAGGATTGCCTCAGGATGCTGGTTACCAGGATAGCTCCAAGTTTAGTGAGAGACCCTATCTCAAGAAAATAAGTTGGAGAGTGATAGAACATGGCTCCTGACATGCTCCTCTGGTCTTCTCTTGCATGCACAGGTACACACACACACACACGTGTGTGTGTGTGCATACAGCACATACATACATACATACATACATACATGCATATACATTCACACACATGTTCTAGATATTATCTGACCACTGCAAAATTCTGATAAGTGTAATTTTATACACAAAACCTGATTTTATAAAAGTATAAGAACACTCAAATAAATGAAGGGAGATGCTATGCTTGTGGACAGGAAAATTCAACATAATAATGATGTCAGTTTTTCTCAGTACAATCTATATGATTGTTGCCAAAACAGCAACAACACATTGGTTAGGCATAAACAAGATGATTCTAAAATTTAAATGAAAAGGCAGAACCAAAAATAAAATACTTTAAGACAACAGGAATAAAGTAAAAGAACTCACTCTACTCAGTGTTAAGGCTTGCTTTGTAGCCACAGTAACCAAGAGAGAAGGATAGACATAGAGAAAGGAGAGGGCACAGGACCCCAAAATATAACTATGCAAATATGCCCAAGTGATGTTTTCAAAATTCACAAAAATAACTCAATAGAAGAATGACAGTATTTTCAGTAACTGTTGCCAAAATAATGAGAACCATGGGCAGGCAAGGATACATCATCCCCAAACCAGTGTTGTATAAAACTCAACTCAAAATGGATCATAGCCCTAAGCATAAAATACAAATCTATAAAATGTTTAGAAAAATAGAAAATTCTTTGGAGCCTAGGGCTAAGTGGAAGTTCTTAGATTTGATATCAGAGCACCATACATCAAAGGAAAAAAATCATAAATTGGAACCCATTGAAACTGAGCGCTCTCTCTCTCTCTCTCTCTCTCTCTCTCTCTCTCTCTCTCTCCCCCCTCTCTCTCTCCCAGCTGGAGAGATGGCTCAGCAGTTAACAGCACTGGCTGCTCTTACAGGGGACCTGGGTTTAGGTCCCAGCATCCACATGTCAGCTAACAACCATCCTTAACTCCAGTTCCAGGGGATCTAACGCCTTCTTCTGGCCTCCCCAGCCATTGCATGACATGAGTGCGCTTACATACATGCAGGCAAAACACTCATACACATAAAATAAAAATAAATATAAAAAATTTTAAAAAATGTGCATACTCTGGAGTTCTTTACGATGAAGATGAACAGACAAATTACAGTTTTAGAGAAAAAACTGTTAACAAGTATGTAAAAAGCTTGAAAAACTAAAAAACCAAATAATAAGCAATTCAATTAGAAAATGGGCAAAGACATAAATAAGCGTTTCATAGAAGGTGTATGGCTAGTAAGCAGCTCACAAAATGATTGTTCAATGTCATTAGTCTTAGGGTATGTAAATTAAATCCTAACGGGATAGTATAATCTATCCTAATGCTAAAATAAAAAACAGTGACAACATCAAAATGCTTGTGTGGAATATGGATTAGTCATGAATTGCTGGGGGACTGTAAAGTGGTATAACCAGTTTGGAAAAGACTGTGGCAGATTCTTATAGAATAATACATGTATTTACCTTATAGTTTCATAATTGTAACTGATAGGCATTCAATACCTCGAAAGGAAGATTTACTTCCCCAAACTATAGACTAATGCTCCTAAAAGATCCAAGAAAAATAGCCCCAAACAAGAAAGAACTCAAATGCCCTTTAATGGATGAACAGTAATCAAACTGTGTCACATGTGTAACACTAAATACTCCTCATAAACCATTAAAAATATGGATGAATCCAACTGGAATTATGCACAGTGAGAAAAATGCCAGTCTCAGAAGGCTAGTTAAGGTCTCAATTCATTTGTATGACATTGTTGAATGACAAAATCATGGAGGCAGAACAGATCAATGACTATCAGATGAAAGTGTATGGTGGGGGGCTAGTTCAGGAAGTGGCTATGGATGAAAAAGGATAGCACATGATGGATGCCTGGAATAGATTATTCTGGTGAAGGTCAGATGAACCTACTTATGGTAGAAGTGTATAAAACTACACATACACACACACACACACACGACCACGTATAAAACTGACATAAATCTCAGTGTCAGTTTCCTCACTGGCAAATTATGCTATGCTACTTGTACAAGAAGCTACTGTTAAAGGAGACAGATGAGAGATCTGCTAATAATTCTATATTCTTTCTTTCTTTTTTGTTTTTCATTTTTCCCCATAGCCACAACTGGCCTGAAATTCTCTATGTAGACCAGACTGGCCTTAATCTCAAATAGATTCACTTGCCTCTGCCTCCTGAGTGCTGGTATTAAAGGCATGCATCACCATATTATGTCTAACAACTGATTGTGATCCCACAATTATCTCAGATTTAAAGTTTCTACATTAATATGATTCACTGGATTTATCTTGCATTTGAATATATTTCTAAAAGGACACAAATCAATTCTCACATCCTCCAATTTAACCTTGAATATAACTAAAGCTATGTTACAGTTGGTAATTATTAGTTTAGTGAAGAATCTTGAAAAATGGGGGAGTGTTGATATTTGTGTCTCGAGAACACAAAGCCCTGAGTCAGCATATTTTGTACATAGCATTTACAAGGAACATTTCAAAAATGTGCCTCTTGAAGACAGTATGACTCAACACTGAGTCAGGTTGAGGTAAAGGCAATGTTTTGGAAAATATTTACAGTTTTTCATTTTCTTTAAAGTTGTTTAGTTAGCAGAAGTTTCTCTGAAAATCTGTTATTACAAGAATTAATTATTTAAACTTTAATCTTGAGTTTACTTATATCTGTTTATAATTTGTTATGGAAAATTATACTAATGCAGTATTCATTTTTATTGGACTAAATTTTAAATGGGCATAATATTTGCAGTATTAAACTGTGGTTGAATTTTAAATAATTCAAGCAATACAAAAATTCTTTAAATTCTTTTGGAGTTACAGAATGCCACATCCTCCCTCTTTGTATAGATATTGATAGAAGAAAATTAAATGTTGTTCATAGAAAAATTATTTGAAACAGTATAATCTCAATTTTCTTTCAATAATTTCTATTTAAGACTCTCTACTAGAAGAGTGAATACACAACTTTTGATGTCTATGGAAAGTTCCATTTAAATCTGACCAAGTTTGTGTCTTTTTATTTTTATTCAATTTTATTTGTGGGGTGTGTGTGTATGTGTGTGTTTGTATGTATGTATGCCTGCCATGATGAGCTGAGGGATCAATGACAACTTGCCAGAGTTGGTTGCTTAGCTCTTTGTATCATGTGGGTTTCAGGGATTAAACTTAGGATCTCAGGATTGGTGATAGGCACCCTTACCCACCGAACCATCTTTTGGATAGCAACCTTGCTTTTTATGGATAATTCCCATGTCTTTTTTGCACATAGATACATTTTTGAAGAATTCTCAATGCATTTTCCTGCTCAAACTCAAAAAGTCTCTAAGTTACTCTCTTTAGAATAATTGTTCTGCTGTAATAAAAGATATTCGATTTGTACACCAGCTATTTTTCAGAATTAAGAAATATTCTACATAAAAGATAATGCTCATAAAACTGAAAGCAATTATTTTTTCAATTCTGTGAAGAATTGTGATAAAAGTTTGGTGCCAAACTGGCATAAACATTGTGGGAATAACCAACCACTTTCTGATTGGATTTAAGGTCTGATTCACAAAATGGAGCTCATAGCTGATACTGATATCAGGTTTAGGAATCTGAGACTAGATGGGTCACAGGCTATAGAGGAGAACATACTACTATTATTCTGCTAAGTGAACATAGTATTAAACTGACTTTTAATGACTTATTGTTATGCCCATAGATTAATGCATCTCTCAGCTTTCACCAGAGAAGCTTCCTCATGCAGAAAATGGTAATTAACACAGAATAAAAGACTTCTTCTGAAAAGGACACCTATATCAATCCTCTGCCTCCCAAGTATCAAGGATCACTGGAGAAGAGGGGGGCAGAAAGATTCCAAGAGCCAAAGGTGGTGGATGACTACAAATAGAGTTTTCCAGAGAGCTGGTCAGTTACTCATATGAACTCACAGCAAAGGTGACAGTATACACAAGGCGCAGCTAAGCTCAAGTTAGACAAAATCCCAGGAAGTGAAACTGATAACTGCTAGGAGAGGAAGAGTTAGTTTTCTTTAAGGCTGTGATGCTGGGTAGGTTAACCATGCTCCAGTGGATGGACCCACACTGGAGGCCACTGGGGACACAAATTTGAGTCAGTAGACCTTAGTACATGTACATGAAATAAAGGGGGGACATTAAGGGAGGTGAAAATATGGGAGAGGGTCTAAATATGATCAAAATACATTGTATGACATTCACAAAAGTTCAATTTAAAAAGGGAGAAAATAATAGATTAAAATATTGAGGCTTACCTGCCCAAATCTCACAGCCATCATGGGTATATTATAACTGCAATTATATGAAGTCATGATAACAGAATACTGGATTGTCATAGTTGATACATTTAATTTGGTCTGGTTCACCTGAAAGTGCTTAAAAAATATTCCTTTATTGGCTAATGCTGGAAATCTTCTCCTTGGCATTTCTGAAGAATATAAATTTTAAAATAATTAAAAACTTAAAAAATAAGTTTAAATGGGAAATACAATTATACCATTAAGCTTTTACTACGTTTTTGACAGGTCGTGTCTATGTATGAGTTTCTTAACATTGTTATCAGCAATAACATTTCCATTTGCAGCATTATCATTTAACTCCACAAAGGGTTTCAGGTGAACTTTACAAGAAAACTATCATTGTTGAATAGTCATATTTGAGGAACAGCTCTCTTTCCTGATAATTGATTGCTCAAAGATAAGCAAAACAAAAATGTTTCCCATGGTGTATTCATCAATAACCAAAACCTAGGACTATAAAATCAATTCTTGCTACACTGGGAAAAAGTCTGCACTAAGAATTCATTCATCCTTAGGGGACTGGAGAGATGGCTCAGCAGTTGAGAATATTTGCTGTTCTCCCACAGGATTCTGGTTTGGTTCCCAGCACCCAGATGGTGACTCACAATTGTCTGTAACTCCAGTGCCAGGGGATCTGATGCCCTGTTCTGACCTCTGAGGGCATTGCACAACATGGGTGCACTTGCATACATGTATGTAAAACACTTATACACATAATATAAAAAATAAATATTTTTAAAAGAATTATTTTATCTTTAAAATAATTGCATAGTCCTACTGGTTAAAAAATAAAGTTAAATCATGATGTTACTGAGGTGAAAGAACAGACCACTAGTATTTAGAGATTAGTAATTTGGTTCTAACTACAGAGAATAAATGACTGATCTTGCAGAGGACCTGGGTTCAATTCCTAGCACCCACATGGCAGCTAACAACCGTCCTTAACTCCAGTTCCAGGGTAACCCAAAGACCTCTTCTGACCTCCGCAGCTTTGCACAGCATGGGTGCACTCACATACATACAGGCAATACACTTATACCCCCAAAATAAAAATAAATAAAATGAAATAAAATAAAGAATAATTTCAAAAAATAAAAAATAAGAATCTGGGTGTGGTGGTCCACGCCTTTAATCCCAGCCCTTGGGAGGCAGACTCAGGGAGATCTCCATGAAACTGAAGTCAGCTTGGTCCACATAAAGAATTCCAGGCTATCTTGGGCTACAAAGAGAGACCCTGTCTCCAAAAGAAAAAAAAAAAGGAAAGAAAAAGAAAAGAAACAAATAATTTCCAATGATTTCCATGGTAAAATTTTACTACAAGGTAGACTTAGAAGATTTTAGTAGACATAAAATGACTCAACGCACCACCCAATGCTGAGATTGTAGATGTCTGTCCAATGTACACCACATCCACATAGAAGGACTGTGCTTCCAATGATTTCTGAAAGCTAATCCTTTGAAGAGAAAAACTTGTCCCAGCATATTTTGTTTGTAAGAAATCGAGAAGATCTATGCATGTGTAGGTCCATCTGAAATATGTTGATTAGTTATAATTAGTAATAAATAAATAAAATATAAGACATTAATTTTAAAGAATGATAAGTTAGGAAGATGGCCCCATGAGAAAAGTGCTTGTTGCACAAGCATAAGGATCTTAGTTTGAATTCCAAACGCCCATGTAAAAGTTGGGTGTCAGGGAATATATGTACAGTCCAGTACAGGAGGGGCAGAGACAGGAGACCCTGGAACTCATTGGCTACACAGTCTAGGCCATCTGGTAGTTCCAGGTTCAGGAAAAGACCCTGTCTCATAAAATAAATAAGGGAGAGAGTAAGCGACTAAGGAAAACACCCAACACCAAACTCAGGCCTTCACACACATGCACACACTGGCACAGGTATTCAGGAACATGCACTCAGGTATAAGCACACATACATATGAACATGTACATACACTACACAAAAATTATAAAACAAAAGATGCACTGTCAGTAAAAGATTTAATGTTGTATACACATAGAGATTTTTATCTGTAGCCTTGTCATTAATCATAGGAAAGTAAAATAATTTTCTGTCATGATAGGAAATTAAGGAAAGCATGCCTTGCTGTATAGCACATTAATGAAGACCAGCTAGAATAGGACCAACTACTTTAGTTAAAAAAGTGACAAATAGAACAGTAAGTTCTGTTTCTGATTTTATTCTTTGAGTTTATCCATTTCATATAATGTTGGCTATAGGTTTATCATATATAGGCATTATTATGACAAGATATGCTCCTCCTAGTCCATGTGTCTTTAAGGTTTTGTGTCATGAAGAGATTTCAGATTTTGTCAAAAGCCTTTTCTGTATCTATTGTGATAGACTTATGATTTTTGTCCTTAAATCCGTTCACAGAATATATTACATTTGATTTGCATATATTGAACCATTTCTGTATCTGTGAAATGAATGATGCCAACTTGATTATGATGGGTTTTTTTTTTTGTATTTTTGAGACGGGGTCTTCTTGTAGCCCCAGCTGTCCTGGAATTCACTATATAGACTAGACTGGCCTCAATCTAAGAGATCTGCCTGTCTCTGCCTCCTGAGTGCTAGGATTAAAGGTGTGTTCTTAAATTCAGTTTGCAAGAATTTTACTGACAATTTCCACTTCCAAATCAAGAATAACACGAGGGTTTCCACTTTCTCCATTCCTATTCATGATAGTGCTTAAAGTAACTAAAGCAGTCAAAAAAGAATAGGAAATAAAATGGGTATAAATAGGACAGGTAGAAGTCAAAGTATCCTTATTTCCCAATTATATAATTCTATACATAAGAGACCCTGAAGACTACCAGAAAACTCTTAACTCTAATAAACATGTTCAGGACCCTGGCAGGAAACACAATTAACATGAAAAATCATGCATAATAATAAATAATAATATTATGTTCCTGCATAATAATAACAAACATGTTGAGAAAGAAGTCAGGAAAACAATCCCATTGATAATTGCCTGGAAATACCTTGGACTAAATCTAATCAAGGATGGGAAAAAACCAATGCAATGAAATTTAAAAATGCTGAATGAAGAAATTTAAGATGCTAAAAGATAAAGATCTACCATGCTCATTGCCTGGAAGAATTAATAATGTGAAAATGACTGCACTACCAAAAGATATATATGTGTGTGTGTGTGTGTGTGTGTGTGTGTGTGTGTGTGTGT